AGTGTATGTGTGTGTGTGTGTGTGTGCGCGTCTGACAGCAAGCATGAAGGAGCTGCAGTAGTAAGGCCGTCAGGCAGCCTGCCGCTTCCTGTCTGCTTTAATTGTATGTAGCCCTGGAGACTGCACACACACACACACTCACACACACACACACACACACATGCACACAAAGACAGACAGAATCCAGCCCAGGGAACCCCTCTACACAGCAGCGCTGACAAAGAGACGAGGCTTACACAGCTAAGATGGGGCTGAACGCTGAGGCCTTTCACTGAGGATGACGACGGCTCGCTGCCGACACAGGAATCAACCGGAGGAGCTTTGGGAGTCTGAGCAAAGCTGCGCTGAGTAAACCTCCAAGAATGAACAACATGAATGTCTTTGTCAGCTATTAATCACATAAATAATGTGTAAACACAGCCTGACATATGCATTTTAATGAGCATTTTCCAATTAGTCTTAAAGTGAATCCTCGAGGCAAGTAACTGAAGATAAGTTTCTAATGAAAAGAAAATATTTTATGTCGACAGGATGGTGTGGAGGAAATGTCAGCCCGTTACTGGACATGTTGAAAATGAGACATTCAGAAACAGCCACTTCTTTTATTAGGTAGTTGAGCCCAATGAGAACAGTTTGTTCTCATTGTGTGTGTGTGCGCGTTTGACAGCAAGCATGACGGAGCTGCAGTAGTAAGGCCGTCAGGCAGCCTGCCGCTTCCTGTCTGCTTTAATTGTATGTAGCCCTGGAGACTGCACACACACACACACTCACACACACACACACACACACATGCACACAAAGACAGACAGAATCCAGCCCAGGGAACCCCTCTACACAGCAGCGCTGACAAAGAGACGAGGCTTACACAGCTAAGATGGGGCTGAACGCTGAGGCCTTTCACTGAGGATGACGACGGCTCGCTGCCGACACAGGAATCAACCGGAGGAGCTTTGGGAGTCTGAGCAAAGCTGCGCTGAGTAAACCTCCAAGAATGAACAACATGAATGTCTTTGTCAGCTATTAATCACATAAATAATGTGTAAACACAGCCTGACATATGCATTTTAATGAGCATTTTCCAATTAGTCTTAAAGTGAATCCTCGAGGCAAGTAACTGAAGATAAGTTTCTAATGAAAAGAAAATATTTTATGTCGACAGGATGGTGTGGAGGAAATGTCAGCCCGTTACTGGACATGTTGAAAATGAGACATTCAGAAACAGCCACTTCTTTTATTAGGTAGTTGAGCCCAATGAGAACAGTTTGTTCTCATTGTGTGTGTGTGCGCGTTTGACAGCAAGCATGACGGAGCTGCAGTAGTAAGGCCGTCAGGCAGCCTGCCGCTTCCTGTCTGCTTTAATTGTATGTAGCCCTGGAGACTGCCGCTTCCTGTCTACTGAACAGTTTGTTCTCATTGATAACAAAAAAATATTACAATCACGCGGTCCCTGGTGATGAGATAAGCCTCTGACGCAGCAGCACAGTCTGTTTCAGGAGCTAAAAATCCCCGGAGAAGAGCATGAAATGTAAGTGCTCAGGGGCTCATTATAAAATCAATGCTCACAGGATCACTCTCATTTAAAAACATGGTGGGGAAAAGGTCAGAAAGAGATGGCAAAATCTCAATCTAATTCTTTGTTCAAAAAGCCACTTAATACTGGATTCTGTAAATTAAATTTCACACCCGGCTCTTCTGGCCAAAGGATAATTACAGCAAGCAGAGGGGGGGATGGAAATGACTTGGGACGAAAAACCTGTTGGATTAGTGATACAACACGCTATAGCAGCATAGTCAGAAATCAACACACAGCATCAGTTGAGTTTTAATACATCGATATGGAATAAAAACTGAGGCTGATTTGGTGACGTACACTTCCACAGTACACGTGGCCAGTCCCGAGGACAATGGTTCAGCCTCCAACACTAGAGAAGCTGCCACTGATATAAAGTAACTGTCAGTGAAAAGATGTTGTACAAGTTCTTCTTTAAACAAAAAGAATAACCTGTAAATTTATATTTACAATATAACCTGGTTGAGTTCATAAAAAAAAAGGCTCAACAAAAATCAAACTCAGATAAAAGTTTTTAAAATATCATTTTCACAAACACTGTGTAGTTTTACAACTTATTAGCAATTTTAAATTAGTTTAACAAACAATGGGATTTTGTAATTTGTTGTTTTTTTTCTTGTGGCCGATGCATTTTCGCTGTCGCTGCCACAAGAGGGCTCCACGTGAACCGCAGTGAACAATAGCTTCGTGCAGAAGACAGATCTGACGGATTGTGGAACCATAAAAAACAGTCAGTGTTGTTGAAAGCCTCAGTTACTGTGTATCAATTTTAATAAAACACACACTATGTTGGAACTACTGTACATGATTTTTATGAAACATACTTAGAGAAATTTGAGGGATTGATCCAGGAGACAATCAACAGGGTAGGAAAGGTACAAAAAATGATTTTATATCGAACTATGTTTAATTTCTCAAACTTTCCTGTTATCTGTCTTTTGCTTGTGATTTAGCTTTAATGATTATTTAAACAAAATAAGGGAAAATTCATTTCTTAGTTAAACGAGTCACAACCAGAAACAGATGCCACCTGGTGATGAGGGCTTGAACAACAGGAAAAACTACATTTTAAGGGCTCACAAGCAATAAAAAAAAAAGGCTGGGAAGCAGTTACCTATAATACCACAGGTCATCTATACCATCTCGATCCTGCATATTTTATTACAGATATAAAAACAAATATGACCAAAATCTTTTCAGTTCAAAATCACAGACGGTGCAGTAGCACATCCTACCTGATAGGTGGCAGTAGCATCACTGCTAGTATCTGTTCCCAGGTTGGTGAGTTTCTCTTTGAGCTTGTGGTGAGAGCGGTGGCGGAGGCAGTAGACCACGGTGGAGGCCAACAGCACGCCGACAATGCACAGGATGGAAACGACAGTGAGGATGAGGAACTTAGTCGACTCTGCCTGGCTGTACTTGGTGGGGATCTGGTTGATCTTGTTTTCCTGTGGGCCACAGAAAGCAAATAAAAAAGGTTAATTATATGTTCTTCTTCATATTTTTATCTGGTGAGCCGTTTTATTTGCACTATCACAGTCAAGACTTTTTGGAAGCAGGTGCTAGGGACTAAACAGGGTGTAAAACGATGTACCTAGAGTATGCATGTTGTTATTCCAGCCAAAAACTACAATTTTACTGATCAGTCAGACAAAAGGAAGTAATCTGCTAAATCATTTGGTGGAGTGTTTGATTGGAACCCTGCAGACTCTCATGGTTTGATACCCCCTGGATTAAAGCACCCACCAAATGCTCCATAAAACAAGTCACACTGAAATTATTCATTTGACAAAGTAATCTGGCTGAACACCCTTAAAAGAATTCATTATTTTGCTTCTAGTGATTCTCCCTAAAACAAATGATTCTACATAAGGTGATGAATGTGGAAATCACGTGCTTCTCTTCTTTCCTTTTTTTGGAGAGACATAAATATGCATATCGCTGTGTGCGATGAAAAGTATAATCACAAGCGTTTGTTCCGCCATCTGTGCCCAGGAGTGCATAGAATGCATAAACTCTTGTTTAGCAAAGCATCCTGGATGTCTCCAGACAGCCCAACACACCGACTGCTATAGTGGAGAAATTTTCTACAACAGACGTTCTGCCATCTTGAGCCAGTGCCTTGCCAATTCCGACCTCGGCGGCACTTTAATCTATCATGAGAACCAGATTCTTCGGCAAACAACTAGAGATGAAACATTCCTTTTCACACATTCTGCTGCTTAGAATAACACAATGGACACATACTGTATGATAAGAGTCTGTCTGAACTGCTTCTTGAGTGTGTAAAAACCACCACGGAAATAATATGAGAGAAGGGAAGTGGGCCTTATTGAGCGGTTCGTTATGACTGGTGCTTGCTGTTCATTTTCAGACACCAGCCAGCTCATGATAATGGCCCTGTTGTGTTTTACCTCGACTACCAAGAGTTAACAATTGGCAACATAATTCTCCATTATTACACACTGCGTAGTGATCTTGACACAAAGAGCGAGGCTACAAATTGCACTGCCAATGACAAGGCCTACAATTTCTCCTGACAAAGAATTATCCAAAGAAATCAATAGCAAAAAATAAATAAATTCCAATCTTTTCTTGACTTGTTTCTACTTGGGAACAAGTGTCTTTTCACATCTTTGCAGCACAGTAAAGATGAATTCTTCCTTTTCGTAGTACAGAAATGTAAACACTCACTATAGCTCATCATTAGCTTTCACTGGTACTGCATATGAAGCTAGTTCGTTGTTATTTTTGTGCCGGGTAAAAAGTGTTGAATGAAAATCCCAAGATGCTCTCAACCTCACAGAAAGGCAGCAGGCCTGTCTCGAGGGTGAAAAAGGGGGGGTTAAAAAAAATCCCCGTCCCTCGGTGATAGAGGTCACAGAGATTAGGAGAGGTGCGGCGTGGTGAGTTAATGGAAAGTAGGCTTTGAAAGCGGTCAGGAGAAAAGGGGGCAGCCCCGTCGAATCCCTCCTGCCTGCCTGTGAGCGTGGAGAAACCCTGAAAGCCTGGGAGGCGGGAAAACAGACGGCTCTGCCCTGCACATGGATTGTTCTGGAATTCTTGTGAGGTTTCAGGGAGCGAAGCCCCTCTACCGCCATCGCCGCTCGATGATGCCCCCCCATCACCACTCCACCCACTGTGATTTCATTCATTGCTGTTCCTGCATTCAGCACCTGATAAAGAGTGCCTGCCGAAAGACCCACAGTGGGGGACAACAGTTGTCCGATGCTTTGTGGGGTGTCCAATTTGCTTGGGGAGCTCTAAGCCGTACTGTAAAAGCTGGTTGCATAGTAATGTGACAGCCTTGAAAAGGAAACAGTGGGCGTCTCTGACTGGGGTGCTGCACTGAGGAGCATTTTCTCAGTGCTAAGAAAACACGATAAAAAAAAAGCTGAACAAAAAAATGTGAGAAATTCAGCTCTGAACTTGAGTACATATAAAAGATTTAACTACTCGTAGCCGCAGGTTACTACTAAGACTGTCCATAAATCAGTAATACACATATTACGGGGAGTCTGTTTATGTTGGATTTCTGTAGACGTAGATGTTAATATTGCATTAGATGTTTGTAAAAGCAGATGCAATTTATTGCTGCTTGGCTGTGTATTATTAATGTTCCTTTTCATTAATGTGGTCTTAATGTACAGATTGCAGCAGAAATATCAGCCGTTAAGGAAGCATCATAAACAAAAGTAGCTGAGCAGCAGCCGGTATGTTTTGTGGGCTTGGCAAGCACATTAATAATACATTACTGCTGATCCCACATGCTTCCACTGCAATCATCTTTTGCAAAATATATTTTATACCAGGGATCAAATAACTTCATTTGTCATTTTACTCCCAAAGTCATCTCATTGTTTAGTCAAATTAAGTTTCATGGAGAGGGATTGCATCTTGCTCGGCTAGTAATGGCCCATAATTCAAGGCTCTAACTGTAACAGCTCAGTCATCTTTCACAGGACAGATGCTGGCGATCCCCCCTCCTTACACACACACACACACACACACACACACACACACACTGATTCCACCTCCCCCATGGTCTCTTCATCATGGCTGCCTAGCATGCCCGTCTATTGATTCAAACAAATGTAGCCTGACCCCACCTGCTTAATCAAGTTTGGCTGCAGTTGTTAGCAACAGTAAAGGGGTGAAGGAGTGTGTGTCGCTGAGTGAGCGAGAGAGAGTCGGGGGTGTATGACTTGTTAGCTCCCATTTATGAAAAACGAGCAGCCGTTCTGCCTGCGCTGCAGACACGCACGGAGCAGAAATTTGCAAATGTTTGCAGGAAGATAGACAGTGTTCAATTCCTTTATCCACACAGGCATTTTTATTCATGTCATAAGTGTCACCTATAGTCTGTATGCAATAATTAGAGGTTCTCTGCTCTTCTCTGCAGCCAGGGCCTTTATCGACTCTCTCTCCTGTCCCTTAACGCTTTCAGTCAAATTACACGTTCAAGACTTGATGTAGAGCCGCACTACAGCTCGGCAGAGAGACGTTTATTTTACATTTGTGTCGTTGTGATGATTTAATTAAAAAAGAATTATCTAAGACAATAGTCAGTGTTGATTCAGTATCAAAAAGAAGCACAAGAAATACTGTAGCTTTTTGTCTGTTTCAATCTGCACCAGTCCTGGATCAAGTGTGAATTATTTTAATCATATGATACAAAAAAAAAAGAAAAGAAAAAGAGAGGAAATGCTCTTTGCTTCTGGAGGGAGAAGGGAGTTCCTTTTATGCCTCTACTTCTATTGTCCATCTGCTCCTTGAAAAGCAATTGTACTTGCAAATTTTTCATTTCACATCGGCAAACGTGATTTGACATATAGTGGTACAGCTCCTCCTGACTGAGGATTTCTGAAAAGCATTACCATGGCCAGTCAAGCGCGCTGCTGGGTTCAGCCCTTTTCAGCAAATATCAGACATGCTCCCCACAGACAGACAGGGGGTTTGAACAAGACCAGAAAGAACAAAAACCCTCAAAAAGAGAGGGAAGTGAAATGTACCACCACAGAATATCTTTTTAAATTTAAAAAATTTTTCCGCTGGTGAATTTTTGATTCAGTTTGCAGTAAAAATCAGCGTCATCAACACGGTTTGATTTGTAGGTAGCATTCTAATTCATCCACTTACAATAACCGGCTTTATGGCTGTTTTGAAAATGTAACTAAAATTGATTAGGAAATTAAAATTAAATGAAACCAGTTTGAAAAAGTGCACATTGACACAGGAGAAATGAGTGTGTGCGTGTGGTTTTTTGTTTCTAGATTTGAGACTGAGGTTTAAGGGTGGAGAGGTTGGGTCTCCTGGTTTGTGTGTGTGAAGGGGGTGTGTGGATTAGCCAGGCTCCCATAGACGAAAGGCAGATGGATTTGCACGGCTCTGGCTTATTCAGAATGGGTGAAAAAAGGTCAGAGGGAGCGCGGTGGCCAGCTATTGTTTCCCTCCACAGCGACTGCTGCAGGAAACAAAGATCTGTCCCTCACCTCTGATTCATCCAGGCTTTTCAAAAAGTTCAGCCGGGGTCTTAACAAAACCTTTCAGCAAACAAGCAGAAACGCACCGCGGACACACATGCACGCACACAACACAATACACAGGCTGGTGAGTGAGTTTACATATGCACACAAACACACATTCTGATTTTACATTTGCTACACTCACATCTGCAGGTGCCCACTTGTACACACTTTTACACATGTAATTTTGCACACACCCACACACGCTATACATGTTTACACTCAAGTGTGCAAGCCGCACACACACAAATACACCTTAGCAAAAGTCCCCACGCACAATTTTGGAAAAAAGACCAACACCGTGATACCAAGACTTGGCTTTTCTGTTAACAAATCTAACAGAAACATCCATTTTGAAATCAAGCAGAAAAATGATTAACATGTTTTTTCATCCCCGTTATAGCTCAGCCACAAAACAGTGTGAATCCATTTCTCAGACATATCACACATTGCATACAAATGAGGATCCTCCTCCAAGTTGAACATGACTTGCACCATTAAAAATGCACAACAGGCTTTAAAGTTTGCACTCCAGCAACATGAAGCCGCAGCTGGAGAAAATGAAAACAGCCATAAATCCCAGTAAACTGACTGTTATTACAATGATAGGGAGCCATGCATCTGCATGCGTCCAGGGTGCGCCATCAATCGGTGTCTAAACTCCGTAGATACTCCCACTGCATGTTCACCTGAAAAAACCCCACTTTTTGGCTGTGAATTATCAAATTTTGAATGGAGTTAAGTATGTCTGAACACAAAATGCTATTAATAAATATGGCTGTAACAATATATTTGAAAACAGTAAGATTGTGAAGAACGTGGAGAGCACACTCCTCAGTCCAACAGAGAGATAAAAGAGGAGCTACAGCAGGACAGATGCATAATTTCATGCATTTTGTAAAGATATTTGCATCAACAGCAGC